ATGTGAGTCAAAAGGTGTGTGTGCTGCCTTTACTGGAGCCCGAATGTCGGAGTGCCCTTTCTCCGTCACATCTTGCCTAGAACGATCCACAGGAGGCCTTATGACAAACCGCCCTTCCAAACCTCCGTCCCATTCTGTACCTGTCTAGCAGGCACACAGCGACATGAGCTACAGCCTTTCATTTGCTGGTCTGCTCCTGGAGAGACCTGGCACGGGGAAGCTGCAGTCCAGGATCATGTCCCCAGGTGTCCTCTGACAAAAAAAAAAAAGAGTAGGAGGAGGAATATCTATGGTAGGCACGCTCGGGATGTGCTAACCCATTTAGATAATGTCAGAGGATGACAGCGCAAAGCGGCTTCCCTGGCGCTCGGTGTTGCTCGCTCTCTCTTTCTTCCTCCAAGCACAGCTGCACGTGCTGGGTCAGGATACCCACCTGGCCGGGGACACACCGTATCCCTGAGGTACCATTATGCAAACCAGTGGTTCGGGGAAACCGGTGCTGATGTAGCTGAAGTGAAATTGGACCAAAAATCTTACGAACTTACAATGTATTTATGCATTGAATATCATTATGCATTGAATTTAGTAGGAATGCATCAAAATTTCAGCCAAAATTTTTAACCAAAAATGGTCAAAAGTGGAACTTTCGGTTTTTGGTGAAAAGAGAAAAAAAAGTAGAATATTTTGTCTGAAAAAAAACCCAAAACATGAAATAGATCTACAAGGAAGTGTCACTGTTTGCAAAACGCTGTTTGCTGTTTGTTTACCTCGCTCTCCTGCCACAGTCGGCACAGATGCATTCAAACAGTTTGAACAGCAGCAGATCAACAGTGAAAATGTCGAACGTGTGGAACTATTTTGTGGTTTCTATGAGGGACATTAGACTAGATTTATAATTACTATTCATGCCATATCACCAAAATTTGGTTCAATACTTTGCCGTAGGTTAATTATTAGTTAATGTAATAATTAGTTAATTATTAATGTTAATAAACATTTCCTAGGACTCACTTTATATTCTGAAGATCATTCTGAGTCTCATGGACTGTTTTACTCTTCACAATTTGAACACTGAAAATAGCTAGATAGCTAATTGTTACGCTAATTTATGCTATTACAAGTGGATGGGCTTGTTGCCTTGTTGGTCGGCGAGACTAGCTGGTCTGAAGTTGGGCGAGTTTTGATCAGTAATGACTTTTTAGGCTTCTTTTTCTTCCCTGTCTAGCGAGTAAAAGATGCACATTGCCAACTTTTGTTATAATCCAATAGGTCGCAATTTTTTAAAGTTCCTTTGCTGCTAATATGAATTGGGGTACAGAATGGCATAATCATTTTATAAATATCTCAAAGACATTTCATCAAAAAAATGTTTAATTCCAGTAATTATTGTTAGCATTTGATTGCCCAGGCCTTGTGAAAGTGTCACAGTGATCTCCCTCTCAGCCCTGTGATTTATAGGCTGCACGAGGCGACCTCCACTTGTCTTAGCTTATGGCCTTCTGTGCTCTGCGTTAAAGCCAGACCGTTTGGCGCAGCGTTCTCGAACACTGACAGCAGTCGCGGGATCTGTGCGCCTGGTTTAATGCTGTCATTTTTCCTGCTTTGTGGTATTAATAAAGATACGCGCTCCGCCTGCAGTCCCTGATCTCATTTACATTCTTGAAGGGAAGAAACGCTTTGACAGAGGTGGTTCGACGTGAAATCTCTGTCAGAAGCGCTATTTAAAGACCAGACACTCACTCTGATTTGCATATTGTTATTTTCCTCCCTTAATCTTTATTTCACCTCTAGCCTGCCTATCAGGGTCAGTGACGGCTCTTTCTCTGCGTGAAGCTCTGATGCTGCATATTTCTGTATTTTTGGAGTATTTCAATTGGGCAGAGGATGTGGAAGGGAGAGAAATAGTCAGAGATGAACACTGTCACAAAGTCGAATAACAAATAAAACATTTTTAGAAAAAGAAGATACGTATACGATAAACTACTTGATCCAAATTGGGCTACGTTCACACAGCAGGTAAAAGTGGCCCAAATCTGATTTTCTCACCAAATCTGATTTTTTTTGTGGGGTGTTCACATCATTTTTTAAAATGTGACCTATGTGTGACGTCAGTCTGAACAGATCAGCTCCTAAACTGACCCACATGCACAAAAGAACAGAGCGTCACGCTGCTTCACAGCTCATCCAGAGGTAAACAATCACGACCGCCAACGAACGCCAGTCGCTCCCGGAGGATCAGCTTCATCTTCACCAGCATCACAGGAGCCATCATGAAGCTTCACTGACTATCAGTTGGGCTCATCACCCAGAATGTGTTCAGTTCACCGTAAAAGGAACAAGTTATTCGGCCACGGTCTCTTCCTTCCCTCATGTTCTCTGATTTTTTTAAACTTTGCTTTCAGACTTTTAACTGTTCTTTGCTTCTGCAGCCTCGTTCTCCTACGACCACATTCGGCCATTTCTATCTAAATCTCTTCAAACACAGAGGGTTTCGGATGAGTCTCTTCTAACTTTTGTACAGAAATATCACCTCAAATGTTTATGAGTCTCAGCATCGCAAAATTATGACGAATGTCGAGTTGAATTGATCTACAAGTTGCATGAATTACGATCTGGCTGTTCAGACTGAGTCGCATTGCTGCCTATCGGATATGGATCAGATTTCAGTACCACATGTGAAAGTGACTCAAATCAGAATCGAAAATGTCAGATTCAGTGTGTTTATCTGTTCACACTGACACACAGACACACATCTGTGTCACATACGAAGAAAAACAGTCAGGTTTGGGCCACTTTTACCTGCTGTGTAAACATAGCCTTAGTGTCCACTGTATTCTCCCTGTTCTATGCTGTTGCCACTCCACAAAGGACCTTTATGATTTAAGCAGCACCTCTCTGCTCACTTGGCTGTTGTACTTACATTCATAAGTGATTCATTCAACCGCATAAGTCAGGCAGAACAAGCAGCCTCAAGCTGTGAGTTTCGCACATTAAAGATTCTCATCGCATTGTCCGTCCCACCGCCACATACCCCCAACATTAGGAAGTCCCTCGTCCTCTCCGACTTAATGAATGCTACACTAAATTAGCATCTGAATAGATGATGACATATTTTTCAAAGCGGCCGACTGCCACAAGCGGAATTTCAAAGTGAAACTGTCATCTTTGTGTTTCTCTGACACTCAATTATTTAGCCAAATCATTAATTTACCAGCACTTAATAATGAAGAATGTGATGAACAAGGCTTTGAATGTCTTGGCCAAGAATGCCAATTCAACCCATCACTGCACAGGATAATGTGCTCCGGTTCTCCATGGACAATATTCCTCTTTGAGAAAGAACCTAAATGGAGCTTTACGCATTATCTGGGCCCCTGGATGTGCTGCTGATATGGTGAACTAAATGAATTGGGCATTGTTGGTCATGCACCCTGGAGAAGGCTGTTCAGAATGGATAGTTGGTGTGATGATTGCTGTGAAGTGCTGGCATGAAAGAGCGACATCCATAAGATAGATTATGCAGATGTGCAGCTATGAATCTGAAGTTAAACACACAGATCACAGCTTCAGGTAATATTTTAGCAGTCAAAGTATGATTTTAGTGTGGTCTCAGAAAACTGACATCAGTAAAGTGTTATGTAGCTGAAGTCGCAAGAAAGTATATTATCTGTTCACAGTTATAGTTTTTATCACCTGTGCGTTTTCATATACTATCAAGGCTGCACTGTGTGAGGTTCTTGTAACATTGAAAGAAGTAGCATTACTGAGTCAGGAGAAAAGAAACATGCTAATATATGGTGCGCTGGATGTGCCTGGAACTCACGTCCTTCAGTTCTCTTTGAATACCGCTCAAGAAAGGGGTCCAAAGAAAAAACTGTCATTACAAAATGTTCTTCCACACTTTGCTTGCAGTTACACATTTCCACCAAAGAGGTCACCAAATCACCAAAACTTACATAGTGTAGATTTGAATAATTAAAAAAAATAATCAAGGGGAAAAAAGAGCTCAATAATCTCAACTGTCTACTCTGAGGTTTAGTAGAGATCTCAGTTATATCACACATTGTGTTTCAGATACATGGTAATGGTCCATTCTTCATGATATTTACACACTATGTAAAGGGCGACAGGTATTTTCAAATTATGTCAAAAACTAAAAAACACCAAAAATGGAGATATGAGGTTTAAATAGGAACACTTTCTCATCCAAGACTAAAAGGCTTTTCAGTTTTGATGCTGTGAGTAACTGCTATAATTTTTATCTGGACCAGAAATATCTCTTGGCTGCTTTTTGCCTGATGTTATCTCTCCCAAGGAATTTTAGGAAAATCATCCCGAGCCATCAAATGTCAACATTTGAGCAATGAAAATTTCCTCTGGGTTTGCATTATGTAGTTTCTTTCTTTGCCGTTTGAAATGAATTCACATAGACCAATCGAATTATACAGCTGCTTAATAAAACTAAAAGCAAGCAAAGTCTCACCATCGGGCTCATTATATTGGCGTAATCCTTTATACTTAATTAGCTTATTTCCCTCAGTGTCAGAGAAGAGAACTCTCTGATGTGGTAGAGCAAGGTAACAGGCTAGATTCCATGACATTCTCAGCAGTAAGGAGCAACATGAAGAAGAGCTGAGGCTTCAGCACCCAGCGAAATATTTAGTAGATGCATGAGTGTCAAATTTATTCAGATGTTCAAAGGTAATGATATTCACTGTGTCTCAGAAGCGCTAGCGCTGTCCATCACAAATCCACAGAGCTGTGTCAGCCAAGGCACACGGAATGGCATTCACTGATGGGAGAGGAGCAACATGAAAGTTAATTTGAATGGGAACAATTATGATTTAAGCAATTTGTGTTTACTATAAAAAAAACATCTGTGGTAAATCTTTTGAAATTAGTTGTTGATGCAATTTGCACAAGTGTGTATTTCTTTCTATTATTCATGAAACTTTCATAAAGCCAGTCTAAAATGAGATTTTCTTGGCGTCTCTTTTCAGGGCATGGAACTAAAGGCGTGTTTGAGCTCCTGGCTGGCTGGAGAAGAACCCGGGAGAACCTGCCCTTCAAAGAGCGAGTGGCAGACGCCTTTGCCGATGTGATGGTTTGCTACACCATGACCAGCTCACTGTACATCATCACTTTCGGCATGGGTGCCAGCCCTTTCACCAACATCGAATCCGTGAAGGTTTTCTGCCAGAGCATGTGCGTGGCCATCCTGGTGAATTACTTCTACGTCTTCTCCTTCTACGGCTCCTGCCTGGTGTTCGCGGGCCAGCTGGAACAGAACCGCTATCACAGCGTGTTCTGCTGCAAGATCCCCTCCGTAGAGTACCTTGACCGCCAGCCCACATGGTTCAAGACCATGATGAGCGATGGCCATGATCTCTCCACGCACCACGACAGCATGCCCTACCAGAACCACTTCATTCAGCACTTCCTTAGGGAGCATTACACGGAGTGGATTACCAACACCTACGTCAAGCCCTTCGTGGTCATTCTCTACTTGATTTATGCCTCTTTTTCTTTCATGGGATGTTTACAAATTAGTGACGGCTACAACATAGTGAACCTGTTAGCCAGCAATTCGCCTAGTGTGTCGTTTGCCCTGACCCAGCAGAAACTGTTCAGCAACTACAGCCCAGTGATAGGGTTCTACATCTATGAGCCCATTGAATACTGGAACTCTACAGTGCAGGAGCACCTCAAGACTCTAGGCCAGGGCTTCAATAAGATTTCGTGGATTGATAATTACTTCAACTATCTGAAGGTTGCCAACGTCAGCGCGTCGACCAAAAGTGATTTTATAAACATTCTCAAGAATTCTTTTTTGAAGAGCCCGGAGTATCAGCACTTCACAGAGGACATCATTTTCTCCAAAAACGGGGACGAGTATGACATCATTGCCTCCCGGATGTACTTGGTAGCCAGGACCACTGAGAAGACCAGGGAGGAGGTGGTGGAACTGCTGGAGAGACTCAGACCACTCTCCCTCATAAACAGCATCAAGTTCATCGTCTTCAACCCCACCTTCGTGTTCATGGACCGCTACAGCTCCTCGGTCGTCTCGCCGATCCTCACGTCAGGATTCAGCGTCCTCACCGTCCTCATCCTCACTTTCTTCCTCGTCATCAACCCCCTGGGGAACTTCTGGTTGATCTTGACCGTCACGTCTGTGGAGCTGGGCGTCCTAGGCCTCATGACGCTCTGGAATGTAGACATGGACAGCATCTCTATCCTGTGCCTTATTTATACTCTCAACTTCGCCATGGATCACTGTGCCCCCCACCTTTACACGTTTGTACTGGCCACTGAGCACACCAGGACTCAGTGCATCAAGATCTCGCTCGAGGAGCACGGGGCGGCCATCTTGCAGAACACCTCGTGCTTCGTTATTGGGATAATGCCCCTGCTTTTTGTGCCTTCCAACCTGACCTACACACTGTTCAAGTGCTCGCTCCTCACCACCGGCTGCACGGTGTTGCACTGTTTTGTCATCCTCCCTGTGTTTTTGACTTTCTTCCCCCCCTCCAAGAAGAGGCACAAGAAGAAGAAACGGGCGAAGAGGAAAGAGCGGGAGAGGGAGCGGGAGCGGGAGAGAGAGAGGGAGGAGATCGAGTGCATCGAGGTCAGGGAGAACCCTGACCACGTGACCAGCGTCTGAGACGTGGGGGGCGCGTCCGGCCGTGTGGTTAAAACAGGGAGTGCATATCCTGTGCGGTGGGGAGCGATGTATGTAGCACTTCACAGGTCCAGGAGGGTCCGAGTGGAGCCGACCTCTCGAGCGGGATGACCTTCAACAGCTCCAGCAATCAGCAGCCTTGATGTCTAGAGTAGGAAGTATTTTTAACGTGCACCCTTCGTCCAGAGCAGTGTATAGCATCTGCAGCTGCCTGCTGCTGTTGCCAGTTCACCTCAGAAGCTGTCAAAGCCTTTTGGGTAAGAAGGCAATTGGAAATGTATCAAATGCTCCAGGAAGTCAGTAATAGATTTCAGAATTGTTAACTGTAGCATGAATCAAAACAGATTGTAAGGGGTTGCATATAGATTCCCATGGATGTGTTGATATTTAGGCTTACCTGTTACTTACTATTCATACTTGCGAATGAGTCGAGACCCATACCGTTAGAAATTAATAATTGGGAATGATATATTTCAAACCACTGGAGATGTAATTTTAATAGATGTGGCACAAAAACCACCTATTTCTTTTCTGAAACCGATACCAATATAGAAAACCTTGAGTATCGGCCAATGCCGATCAGATCAATCCGATATTTTTTTCTTTAAAAACTACTCATCTTTAAATTTAGCTATTTTCCTTAGAAGTACTTCACTTAAGATCTTAAGATGACCCTCTAAAAGCAGGCAATCGTGCCTCGTACCATCAAACTATTCAACATACAATTGACATAACAGGGTTAGCATCGGATTGGATGCATTGTGTTTTTTTAGCCAGCATTTTCTGCTGATATCGGCCCAGTTTGATACCCGGTATCAGATGCCACCTCTAATTTTAGGCCACTGATCATTGTCCTGGTTATTAAATCCAAATCCTTATGTGCAAAAGTACATGAGCCAGCATTTACAAATGTAGCGTGTCTTTGGAGTTTGACTAGCAGAGCTAAGCAAAGCAGATGTTATACACTGTTCAGTCTGCACAAATGAATAGGAAGATAGGAACTTTTCAAGCTGCATTTCAGTGGAACAAGATGTGTTCTTTGTACTGTTATGAGAAATACATCTGTTCCCATGACATTAGCTGCATACTGGAGATCTAATTCATAAAACATCAAGCATGTGTTAGCATAACTGACAGTTAGCCCAGTCATGGTGAATCATGGCTAATTTCAATGTATGTGTCCGAAATAGTTTGCAGTCCTGCTAATCCACTGTTGTTTGAAATGTGATAGCACTTAGATGGATAAATCTCCCAAGAAACATAGCAAGGGGCAGTTAAAGGTGCTTGAGATTCTTAAATTCGATTTCAAGGCAAGCTGAGTTCAAGTGTATGAAAGGAACAAGAGACCAACTGATAACAGTGTGCTGACTTTGTAATTGAGCTTTTGAGAGAGCTTTGCCAAATTAGTAGTTATTACAGTTAGTGGCAGACGTTGGTGTCCATTATCAGTTGTGTATGCCCAATTTGATTATGTCATCAAATCTAGGTTGTTGATTAGATTTACAAAAGAATAGGGAGATGCAGAAAAACAGTGTGGATTCCATATAACACATTATAATAGACATACAGTGTTGTCTGGCTCAATGTGTTGGATTTGCAGTAAGACACTGTCTTTTAGTTGTTGCTTAATCTTTGGTTCTCCACAGCACATCGCTGCTGTCGGAAGAAAACTTCGTATCTCCATTTTCGTCCATTTTTCAGTTTTTGACACAATTTGAAAATGCCTGTTGTCCTTTACGTTGTGTGTAAAGACAGCCCAAAACACGGCCCAAAACATGGCCCAAAACACGGCCCAAAATGACTTGGAAAAAAGTCTGGTTCCATTGACTTACATTGAAAATAAAGTATGTTTTTTCCTTCTCCTGAAAAGTTACCATTTTGGAGATACAAGGTTTTCAACAGCGATATATTTTAAAAGGAAAGTTCCATCAATTTTCGATATTTTCACATGTAGGTAATCACTTAATGATTATCAGCTGTTTTAGAACTGCGTAGAACTGGAGAAACATTTTTAATATTTTTATTTTTAAGTCATTCTTTTAACACATTTTAGCCCGGATCCATGGCTTAATGATATAAACATGTAAACATGTTCCACAATCTGCAGTGCTAACTACATTAGCCATTGGCTATTAGCTATTACTTTAAAATATTGGTGGAACGTCTCCTTTTTTAACATTAGCCTTGCATCGTTGATTGTATCCACTGTTTACGTCTTTTGTGAAGAGTAGCATGTGCAATTAGAAAGGACATTGCCAGTGTTGCATTCGTTTGGCCTTACTGAACCAGTCCATGCACTGGATGTTGTTGTAGAGTCATTCCAAAGGCAGGTGGTCCCCATGTAGGAGAACCATGTTGGTCAGAGTTTACGAGGCTGCTGAGCCGAATAAATAGAGGTTGTAGAACAACACATTATGGAAACAGACCACAGATCCAACACTTCAGTGGCGGTTTATTGATATCAAAGGATGTATAAGCATCAGAGTAAATGATAAAGTCCATTTGGTTTATTGGGCTGGCATCGTGCCATGCTGTGGTGTTTAGATATTCAAGGCTCAAAGCTTTTACCAGGACTGAGGCATTGTGAACCTTGTGTAAATGTCCACCACGTCCATCTAACCAACGGTTAGAGACAAAATGAGATGCAACATGTTTAAAAAACCCAGCAAGCAAACAGAGACCTCATAACTAGTACTCAGACATCCATCACTGAAAAGGAATTCAGTTGGTGCACTCAATGTCTACCACCGATGGCGTCACCGTACTTTGTGAGCCATACTATATTTGTGTAGGAGGAGGGCATGAAAAATTAAATAGGCTATATGAAGAAAATAAATGCATACTAAAATCATATACTTCCCAAAAATACTGTCTGCCGCATGTAATGTATGTATGCATGTATTTAGTTAGTGTGCATTTTTGTTTGTTTTCACATTTTGAGAACTGTATGGTTTTTGATTGTTTTTTGTTTTTGTTTTTTTTTATGCATAATTGATATCATCTTGTCAGTAACTTGAAGAGCTATCCGTGTTTTCTGTTGTGCTAACAACCAGAAAAAGAACAAAAAATACGAATTGTAAAATAACTGTACAGGATTTTCTAGTTTTTTTTAAAGAAATGAAAAGTGAAAGATTTTTTTAAAATCTGAAATTCTTATTATAAAAAGGCAATAAAGTACAAAAATAGAGAAACGCTAAGCCGAGTAGGCCAGTAATAAATTATGGAATGTCAACTGCATACTAAATGGATCAGTTCTTTCCACACAGAGAATGTTAAATGTTAAATAGAATAGTGTTTGGTGTGTAAACCACAATTTCAGTCATCCACCTAAAGTTGTCATAGCATAGAAGACTTACTCTTCCGACACTGAGTAGCAATTATATTTCACTTCTGGACAAACTTCTAAAACTCCACTAGGCAATTTACTAGATAGAAGTAGAAAGAAACAAATAATACAAGGTAGAAACGCTCAGTGTTACACAGTAAATCTCTCAGTAAAGTAAAACACCAAATGAAAACATTGTCAGTTCAGGAAAAGAAACATAGTTAAAACTCATATTAGCTAATATTTTGAAATATTAGGACAGCATTAGGGTTACTCCTAGTAGGCCAATGACTATATTTTTAGGAGAGAATGTTCCCCACAGCATGATCTGCGTATACCAGTCTGTCAGGAACAATGTATGCTCTAAGATCAGGCCATTAATCTCTGATACAGCATTGCTGTATTATCTGCTTTATTTAACTTCAACATGCTCCCACAAATCAAAGTCACCTGCTTTAAAGTAAAGTAAGACACTTTTCTATCCATATCAATATCCTCTAGATAGTAAATCAAAATTTGCACTTTAACGGTTATTTTTCCTAAGATATTTAATTAAATAGACAGAATGCTAAAACATAGAAAACCCTTGGGTCATTTATATTATAGGGGAACACTATCTTAACACTTATGTGCTGTAAAACCTCACAGTAGACATTTGCAGTTTTTGCCTAGCGATGACCAAGGCTGGACCGAAAGATTGGTGGTGAAAGAGATCCTCAGTTTCTTTTGCAGTTAGCATGTTAGCTAACTCACTACCCCTAAACAGTAAAAAAACACAAATATACTATGTTTATGTACTGTCAAGAGCATAGCACTGCACAGAGTTGTAGAAAAAATAGGGCATGGTTGGTGGCAGTGGGTTAACTTCTGTGTGCAGCAGTGCTTAGCCAAGGAGCTAACATAGCAGTTAGCAAGCTGGCTAACTCGCCTATCATAAGCATTAAAATCATTAAAGTAAAAATAATAACAGAGGCTCCTGACTAACTGTGTATCATGCAGTCTCTCTTTTTTGCGTTTATCTAAAGCCAATGATGAAGGAATGTTTGAGGAGTCGTGCTCAGACACTGCTACATTTAGCATTTCCCCCATTTTGGTTCGACAGTGCTGCTATACGGAGGGCCACCCGTTCAGTGGTCAACACAGCCAAAGCAGCAGCGCTAGTGGTTTAGTGGTTTTCAAATTTGCGAGTTCACCAAAGTCAAAGTTGGTCAGTTGGTCTCCAGTGGTCAGCTTTTATAGATTAACCTATATAAATTCAGCCTCATCTTGTAAATCACATGTTCTAAGACATTATCACAGCATCAAATATGACCTTGCATTTAACAAGATACGGTAATTCGATGGTAATCTGGAAACATTCTTAAAATTCTTAAAGTCACTGCTTTGTATCCTGTTAACTAAAGCCAATAAATTGCCAATAGTATTGTAATTGTTTCTGTACTAAGCAGGTGTATATTAAGTGCACTGCGCAGTTAGTGAACCATACATTAGTAGTAGTTTTAAGTAATAAATTAACAGGAAAGTTAGGATAGTTTAGGCCCATAACCTGATTATCTGGCGTTTTAGACATGCAAGAGCAAGTAAGATGTTTAGTGAGTTAAATGAAGTTATTAATTCTACATCTAATGAAAAGGATAAAAATATATGACCTCCAAAATGCTCTATAACTGAGTATACAGGGTTGACAGTTTATAAGTTCCACCTACCGTGACTGTAGCCCAACCGCTGCTGTAATTTATCAGCCTCCCCCTATCCTGTCCATCAATGGGAAGGGACCACAACAGGACGACTGCCGA